AGACTTACAATTTTTGTCATTTTCGGCCAAAAAATGGATTTTGTTCAAAATTTCAGTATATGTACTCCTGAATGTGCTGCTTAAGGATCTGTTAACCAAAATTTGATATCTTGATTATAACTTGTTCAAATGGCTTTTAGAAAATGTTCCAATGATTTTTAGAATATTTTAATTACTTTTGCAATGCTAATTACTCGCCACTTATGGGTTTTCGAGGTCATTTCTTGGTGCTTGTGTATTATTCTGGATGTACTTAAATAGTTAGGCACATTAAATTTAGTTCAGAGAGAAAACGTATTTTTGGCCAAAAATCCTTTAAGGCTATAGACTATAATTTTCCTGTTTTCAGCCAAAAATGGATTTTGTTCAAAATTTCGAACAAATTACTCCTGAATGCTTGCTTAAGGATCTGATAACCAAAATTTGATATCATTATAACTTGTTCAAATGGCACACTAGAAAATGTTCAAATAGTTTTAGAATATTTTAATTACTTTTGTAATGCTAATTACTCGCCACTTATGGGTTTTCGAGGTCATTTCTTGGTGCTTGTGTATTATTCTGGATGTACTTAAATAGTTAGGCACATTAAAGTTTAGTTCAGAGAGAAAACGTATTTTTGGCCAAAAATCCTTTAAGGCTATAGACTTACAATTTTTGTCATTTTCAGCCAAAAAATGGATTTTGTTCAAAATTTCAGTATAGGTACTCCTGAATGTGCTGTTTAAGGATCTGTTAACCAAAATTTGATATCTTGATTATAACTTGTTCAAATGGCTTTCAGAAAATGTTCAAATGATTTTTAGAATATTTTAATTACTTTTGCAATGCTAATTACTCGCCACTTATGGGTTTTCGAGGTCATTTCTTGGTGCTTGTGTATTATTTTGGATGTACTTAAATAGTTAGGCACATTAAATTTTAGTTCAGAGAAAAAACGTATTTTTGGCCAAAAATCCTTTAAGGCTATAGACTTACAATTTTCGTCATTTCGGCCAAAAATGGATTTTGTTCAAAATTTCAGTATAGGTACTCCTGAATGTGCTGCTTAAGGATCTGTTAACCAAAATTTGATATCTTGATTATAACGTGTTCAAATGGCTTTTAGAAAATGTTCAAATGATTTTTTGAATATTTTAATTACTTTTGCAATGCTAATTACTCGCCACTTATGGGTTTTCGAGGTCATTTCTTGGTGCTTGTGTATTATTCTGGATGTACTTAAATAGTTAGGCACATTAAATTTTAGTTCAGAGAGAAAAAGTATTTTTGGCCAAAAATCCTTTAAGGCTTTAGACTTACAATTTTTGTCATTTCGGCCAAAAATTGGATTTTGTTCAAAATTTCAGTATAGGTACTCCTGAATGTGCTGCTTAAGGATCTATTAACCAAAATTTGATATCTTGATTATAACGTGTTCAAATGGCTTTTAGAAAATGTTCAAATGATTTTTAGAATATTTTAATTACTTTTGATACTATTCGCTTTTATGGGTTTTCAGAGATTGTTTCTTGGTGCTTGTGTATTATTCTGGATGTACTTAAATAGTTGAGCACATTAAATTTTAGTTCAGAGAAAAGCGTATTTTGGCCAAAAATCCTTTAAGGCTATAGACTTACAATTTTGTCATTTTCGGCCAAAAATGGATTTTGGTAATTCAGTATAAATTGCTCCTGAATGTGCTGCTTAAGGATAACAAAATTTGATATCTTGATTATAACTTATTGTTCAGTAACTTTTAGAAAATGTTCAAATGATTTTTAGAATATTTTAATTACTTTTGCAATGCTAATTACTCGCCACTTATGGGTTTTCGAGGTCATTTCTGGTGCTTGTGTATTATTCTGGATGTGCTTAAATAGTTAGGCACATTAAATTTTAGTTCAGAGAGAAAACGTATTTTTGGCCAAAAATCTTTTAAGGCTATAGACTTACAATTTTCGTCATTTCGGCCAAAAAATGGATTTTGTTCAAAATTTCAGTATAGGTGCTCCTGAATGTGCTGCTTAAGGATCTGTTAACCAAAATTTGATATCTTGATTATAACTTGTTCAAATGGCTTTTAGAAAATGTTCAAATGATTTTTAGATATTTTAATTACATTACTAATTCACAGCAGCGCCACTTATGGGTTTTCCAGTCATTTCTTGGTGCTTGTGTATTGGATGCCAAATAGTTAGGCACATTAAATTTTGGTTAGAGAGAGAAAAAGTATTTTGGCCAAAAATCCTTTAAGGCTTTAGACTTACAATTTTTGTCATTTCGGCCAAAAAATGGATTTTGTTCAAAATTTCAGTATAGGTACTCCTGAATGTGCTGTTTAAGGATCTATAAACCAAAAAATTGATATCTTGATTATAACTTGTTCAAATGGCTTTTAGAAAATGTTTAAATGATTTTTAGAATATTTTAATTACTTTTGCAATGCTAATTACTCGCCACTTATGGGTTTTCGAGGTCATTTCTTGGTGCTTGTGTATTATTCTGGATGTACTTAAATAGTTAGGCACATTAAATTTTAGTTCCGAGAGAAAACGTATTTTTAATAAAAATCAACTGAGCCTCGAACAATTTACTCATTTCAGCCAAAATGGGTTTGTTAATTTATTATAGGCTCCTGAATGTGCTGCTTAAGGATCTGTTAGCAAAATTTGATATCTTGATTATAACTCTGCACAAATGGCTTTTAGAAAATGTTCAATGATTTTTGAGATATTTTAATTACTTTGCAATGCTACTCGCCACTTGCTATGGGTTTTCAGTGTTTGCCAGTGTTTGTGTATTACCTGGATGTACTTAAATAGTTTAGGCTTCATTCAGTTCAAGAAAAAAACTGTTTTTGGTAAAATCCTTTAAGACTTAGACTTACAATTTTCGTATTTCGGCCAAAAAATGGATTTTGTTCAAAATTTCAGTATAGGTACTCCTGAATGTGCTGTTTAAGGATCTGTAAACCAAAAAATTGATATCTTGATTATAACTTGTTCAAATGGCTTTTAGAAAATGTTCAAATGATTTTTAGAATATTTTAATTACTTTTGCAATGCTAATTTCTCGCCACTTATGGGTTTTCGAGGTCATTTCTTGGTGTTTGTGTATTATTCTGGATGTACTTAAATAGTTAGGCACATTAAATTTTAGTTCAGAGAGAAAACGTATTTTTGGCCAAAAATCCTTTAAGGCTTTAGACTTACAATATTTGTCATTTCGGCCAAAAAATGGATTTTGTTCAAAATTTCTGTATAGGTACTCCTGAATGTGCTGTTTAAGGATCTGTTAACCAAAATTTGATATCTTGATTATAACCTGTTCAAATGGCTTTTAGAAAATGTTCAAATGATTTTTAGAGAATATTTTAATTGCTTTTGCAATGCTAATTACTCGCCACTTATGGGTTTCGAGGTCATTTCTTGGTGCTTGTGTATTCTGGATGTAAATAGTTAGGCACATTAAATTTTAGTTCAGAGAAAACGTATTTTGGCCAAAAATCCTTTAATGCTATGGGCTTTTAACAATTTTGCAATGTTTTCGATAAATGGATTTTGTTCAAAATTTCAGTATAGGTACTCCTAGATGATATTAACAACTTAAGGATCTGTTAGCAAAATTTGATATCTTGATTATAACTTGTTCAAATTGCTTTTAGAAAATATTCAAATGATTTTTAGAATATTTTAATTACTTTTGCAATGCTAATTACTTTCTAAGCCACTTATGGGTTTCGGGTCATTTCTTGGTGCTTGTGTATTATTCTGGATGTACTTAAATAGTTAGGCACATTCATTTTAGTTCAGAGAGAAAACGTATTTTTGGCCAAAAATCCTTTAAGGCTATAGACTTACAATTTTCGTCATTTCGGCCAAAAAATGGATTTTGTTCAAAATTTCAGTATAGGTACCAGGGCTGTGGAGTCGAAGACAAAACCTTCGACTCCGACTCCTTGGCCTATTTGTAACAACTATTTCTACCATCCTAATTGTAATTTGTATGTTGTAACCTGCATAGGTAAAAAGTAAAACACCGTGGCTATACTGCTACAGCTTTATTAATGATCTGGACGATATTTAAGAACTACAAAAAGATGATAGGCTTGACTTTCAAAGTTTCAATCAAAAGAAAAATAAATTTATTAAGAATTCAAGATATTAACTAGAAAACACCATTTACATGTATATCTAAAAGTTCGATCTCAGCATATGAATTTTGTTTAAGCTCATAATCTGATGTGGATCTAAATGATGATCCTACAATTCCTTTTAAAGTAAAGTTATATATTTATGTACATTAAAGAAATGAATACCTTATTAAGGAAAATGGATAAACCTTACATGATTAAGTTATTAAATTAAATTTGCCTTAATCTCACCAAAAACAGGTTGTAGCTAATTGTTTTGTAGCTGAGAGCCTCTGTGCAGTTTTTAACGAAACAAAATTTGATATAATTCAAAATTTCAAATGGTAAAGAAGAGACTATCGTCCAAAATTATAGTGCTATACTGTGCCTGCTACAATAAATTCATAATAATGCTTATAAAATGGAAATAAATTCTTTTAATAATTTAAGAAAATTAGTGGGATCAGTGGAATCACTGCAATGAATATACCTGAGTTCATATATTTGTTCTTAGGAACAGAATAGCTTCAGTCGGAGTCGGAGTCGGAGTCTGGACAATTTTACCGACTCCGACTCCACAAGCCGAAATTTCCTCCGACTCCGACTCCACAGCCCTGTTGCATTCTATATTGAAAATTATAAAAATACAAAAGAAAATGCTCTGGCATATTATACACACATTACAATTATCTTTGCATTAACTTTCACTTTCATACTAGATACATAACAGTACACTCACATACAGTACTGTACAGTATATAAAAATTTTCACTCATAGTTTTTAGATGCACAAATACAACATTGACTCAAGACACAAAAAAATACCACTTTTATCTTTATTGTATTTATAATATGACAGTACTGTACCTGTATTGTGTAAAAACACCTGAGTATTCTTATTAGTTCATGTATTTGTTCTCACTATCTTTATTCTTACAAGTATTTCACTTTATATAGAGTGAAGAACGTGCTCCTACAGTCCAATGCCATCCTTGAAGCCTTCGGTAATGCCAAGACCAACAGGAATGACAACTCTTCTCGGTTTGGCAAGTACATGGACATCAACTTTGACTTCAAGGGTGACCCAGTTGGTGGTCATGTTGAGAACTACCTCCTGGAGAAGTCAAGGGTTGTGTTGCAGCAGCAGGGGGAGAGGAATTTCCACTCTTTCTATCAGGTGGGAACATACTATATTTTTGTACTGTTAATTATACAGTACGTACATGTTTTTAAGATGGTTACATTCTTACTTGTCTCTTCTGCATATATCCCTGCCTTTCTTTCTACCAGCTTCACTTGCTTATAATTTCACTTTTGCACATGTACCTGTGAATCTCTGTCAGTCCCCATCTCTGCCTACCTCAGTCTTTTATGTTTCCCTTCTCTGCAACTACCTGTCTGCCTTCTTCCATACCTACTTCACTTGGTTTTGTAACATCTCTGTATTTGGATTCTTGCCAGAATGTCAATCTGCTGTAATCTCAATACTGTACCAGAGTACAGTATATTGTTGGTTGCATACGTGTTAACCTGTCAGTCTTGTTTGGAAAGTTTTTCCTGTTCCTCTATAGTACCACGCTACATGTCTAATTGTCTTTGTCTTGCTCTGTTTAGCCATTCTTCTGGTATTTCCTAACTTCTTTAGGTATAGTAGTACTGTACCTGGTATTTTTGTGAAGTACAGTACTGTATCATGCAGAACAAGTTGAAATATTTTTTCTATACAGGTATACCAGTTTATTAATGATACTGTGTATAATATAGATATGTATCCTAGGATTAGCCATACATTTTATTGTAAAGTTATTTTTAATTCTTTTGTAGGTAACTTTTTTCCCGGTACCAACTCCATACCAAGAGTCTAGTGGTTATAAGCATATACACAGCATTCCAATACATTTTCAGTCAGTTATATGGAGAGACCATTTATAACTGGAGTTGATCTTGATTTTTCTCAATTTCTTCAGGTCCTGTTTGGAGCCACAGATTCAGAGCTGTCTCGTCTGAAACTGAAGCGTGATGTCAACAGCTACCACTTCATCTGTCAGGGCGGCACACCAAGGGTAGACTCTATTGCTGACAAAGCTGACTACAAGACATGCCAACAAGCTTTCAAGACATTAGGGTTCACACCTGAACAGACTGATGCCATATGGAGAGTTGTTGGGGCTATCCTACACTTGGTGAGTATCTTTAGAATTCTAAAAAAGAAAATTTCAAGTGCTTATTCAGTAAAAAACTGCTATGATTCAATAAAATATACTGTATGTAACTGAGAAGGTTCTCAGTGTGATGGTGTGTACAGTACAGTGAGTTCTGCTATAACGCGTGTTTTGACAACGCGAATTGGCTCTTAACGCGATTTATGAATAGAGGAACGATATTTGTATAACGCGAACGCTTGTTTGCTGTAACGCGATTTTTGCTTACTATTTCTCCAATTTTGTGGTATTAACTGTGAATATGGTAAATATACAAGTTCATGGTGATGCATTCAGTGATAATGAGTTCTGTACCAGCTCAGTGTTCTGCTCAAATCACATCAAGTTATATTCATATTTTTTCAAGGTAAAGTGTTACATTTACTGTATGATTTCATTATTAGATATGAATGTCACATTTATTTAGTCTGTGCTATCCTTTGTGTTAGGCTAACTACTAAATTTTTTTCAATTTCGAGTAGTAATCTGCACCTAACCCTATTTTCTCCATAAGCCCTGTTATTTCTATTACGCGAATTTCTATAATACGATGTTTTACAAGAACACAACTATCGCGTTATAGCAGAACTGACTGTACTGTACTGTAAAGAGTTTTAGACTACATAGAGGATCCTTTTAAAGAATTGCCTGCCTGTTGATGTAGGAAATTCAATTTTGTAAATTTTCTTTTTGTTAAATTTGGTACAGTGGGTACAGTAGCTAAAACAACTGTCTGTGCATACGTTGTGGGAAACACGTAAAATTTTGAAACATATCGAGCCCCGCCTGCACAGATAGTTGTTTTAGCTACTGTACAGTCCGTGTATATTAATAATTGCCCATGAAGTGTGGAAAATTGTCTTAAAACAATGACAGATATTCATTTAAATTTATGCTTTTTGCCTTTATTCCTTCAGGGCAATGTTGAATTTTCCTCTGGTGGAGATGAGACCCAAATTCAAAATCCCAAAGTTGTGAAAAACATCGCAGAACTCCTGAATGTCTCCCCAGCTGATGTGAACAAGGCACTGTGTCATCGAGTCATTGCAGCACGTGGGGAGGTCATGGAGAAACGACACACAGAAAGTGAGGCCAGTTATGGTCGTAATGCATTTGCAAAGGTGAGATATGATGGTGATTTGTAGTTGAGGTATTGGTAAAGGTATCATTCACTTAATGTAAGTAATTAAAACTATCATTCATTGTGGTGTAGTTTAATAACTATGTACACAGTATTGTACTTTTTCATTTCCTATTACTTTTGTAGTTTTAGTGACTTGTTTCTGTTGGATGGATCACACATGTTTTTTTTATGTAAGCATCGGGAAAGGAAACCTCCAAGCAGGGTCAGCTCTAGCTTCTGAGAGGCCTTGTACAAGATAATGGTTTTGGGGGGCCTCATTCCTTAGACCAGGGGTCACCAAACTACGGCCCGCGACGTCAGTTCATCAGGCCCGCCGTGATAGCTCCGCCTACGCTCTGACGTTACCATGGTTTCCATGGCTTTCGTTCTGGCTTGCAAGTATTGAACAGAATGATTATGCGGCCCGCGCTCGTCACTCTTTCAGTTATCCGGCCCACTGTGAAAAAAGTTTGGTGACCCCTGCCTTAGACAACCCTCCCATCGTGCCCAGTCCCTCACCCAAGTACAGTATATTCCTAATTTTCTATGAGAATGTTATCTTGATATTGTTATACAAACATACATACAAATATATATATAACAGGAAGGTAAATCAGTATCAGTTGCCAGGTTTTTATAAACAGAAACCGCCAAAGCCCAGACTGATGGGCGCCAGAGGGCTGAAACACACTTGCCAGCAGTTTTGAGATGCGCACACTACACGACACATCAGAATTGAAATACGAATTCTACTAAACAACAAATATATTGTTGTTTGTAACCCATATGCCACTTTCCATAACAACTGGTTGGCC